GGAACCGGAGCTGCAGTTCCGGCTCGGGAACCGGAGCTGCAGTTCCGGCTCGGGAACCGGAGCTGCAGTCCCGGCTCGGGAACCGGAGCTGCAGTCCCGGCTCGGGAACCGGAGCTGCAGTCCCGGCTCGGGAACTGGAGCTGCAGTCCCGGCTTGGGGACCGGAGCTGCAGTCCCGGCTTGGGGACCGGAGCTGCAGTCCCGGCTTGGGGACCGGAGCTGCAGTCCCGGCTTGGGGACCGGAGCTGCAGTCCCGGCTTGGGGACCGGAGCTGCAGTCCCGGCTTCGGGACCGGAGCTGCAGTCCCGGCTTCGGGAACGAAGCTGCAGTCCCGGCTTCGGGACCGGAGCTGCAGTCCCGGCTGGGGAACCGGAGCTGCAGTTCCGGCTCGGGAACCGGAGCTGCAGTTCCGGCTCGGGAACCGGAGCTGCTGTTCCGGCTCGGGAACCGGAGCTGCAGTTCCGGCTCGGGAACCGGAGCTGCAGTTCCGGCTCGGGAACCGGAGCTGCAGTTCCGGCTCGGGAACCGGAGCTGCAGTTCCGGCTCGGGAACCGGAGCTGCAGTTCCGGCTCGGGAACCGGAGCTGCAGTCCCGGCTCGGGAACCGGAGCTGCAGTCCCGGCTCGGGAACCGGAGCTGCAGTCCCGGCTCGGGAACTGGAGCTGCAGTCCCGGCTCGGGAACTGGAGCTGCAGTCCCGGCTCGGGGACTGGAGCTGCAGTCCCGGCTTGGGGACTGGAGCTGCAGTCCCGGCTTGGGGACTGGAGCTGCAGCCCCGGCTTGGGGACTGGAGCTGCAGTCCCGGCTTGGGGACTGGAGCTGCAGTCCCGGCTTGGGGACCGGAGCTGCAGTCCCGGCTTGGGGACCGGAGCTGCAGTCCCGGCTTGGGGACCGGAGCTGCAGTCCCGGCTTGGGGACCGGAGCTGCAGTCCCGGCTTGGGGACCGGAGCTGCAGTCCCGGCTTGGGGACCGGAGCTGCAGTCCCGGCTTGGGGACCGGAGCTGCAGTCCCGGCTTCGGGACCGGAGCTGCAGTCCCGGCTTCGGGACCGGAGCTGCAGTCCCGGCTTGGGGACCGGAGCTGCAGTCCCGGCTGGGGAACCGGAGCTGCAGTTCCGGCTCGGGAACAGGAGCTGCAGTTCCGGCTCGGGAACCGGAGCTGCAGTTCCGGCTCGGGAACCGGAGCTGCAGTTCCGGCTCGGGAACCGGAGCTGCAGTTCCGGCTCGGGAACCGGAGCTGCAGTTCCGGCTCGGGAACCGGAGCTGCAGTCCCGGCTCGGGAACCGGAGCTGCAGTCCCGGCTCGGGAACCGGAGCTGCAGTCCCGGCTCGGGAACCGGAGCTGCAGTCCCGGCTCGGGAACCGGAGCTGCAGTCCCGGCTCGGGGACTGGAGCTGCAGTCCCGGCATGGGGACTGGAGCTGCAGTCCCGGCATGGGGACTGGAGCTGCAGTCCCGGCTTGGGGACCGGAGCTGCAGTCCCGGCTTGGGGACCGGAGCTGCAGTCCCGGCTTGGGGACCGGAGCTGCAGTCCCGGCTTGGGGACCGGAGCTGCAGTCCCGGCTTGGGGACCGGAGCTGCAGTCCCGGCTTGGGGACCGGAGCTGCAGTCCCGGCTTGGGGACCGGAGCTGCAGTCCCGGCTTGGGGACCGGAGCTGCAGTCCCGGCTTGGGGACCGGAGCTGCAGTCCCGGCTTCGGGACCGGAGCTGCAGTCCCGGATTCGGGAACGAAGCTGCAGTCCCGGCTTCGGGACCGGAGCTGCAGTCCCGGCTTCGGGAACGAAGCTGCAGTCCCGGCTTCGGGACCGGAGCTGCAGTCCCGGCTGGGGAACCGGAGCTGCAGTTCCGGCTCGGGAACCGGAGCTGCTGTTCCGGCTCGGGAACCGGAGCTGCAGTTCCAGCTCGGGAACCGGAGCTGCAGTTCCGGCTCGGGAACCGGAGCTGCAGTTCCGGCTCGGGAACCGGAGCTGCAGTTCCGGCTCGGGAACCGGAGCTGCAGTTCCGGCTCGGGAACCGGAGCTGCAGTCCCGGCTCGGGAACCGGAGCTGCAGTCCCGGCTCGGGAACCGGAGCTGCAGTCCCGGCTCGGGAACTGGAGCTGCAGTCCCGGCTCGGGGACTGGAGCTGCAGTCCCGGCTTGGGGACTGGAGCTGCAGTCCCGGCTTGGGGACTGGAGCTGCAGCCCCGGCTTGGGGACTGGAGCTGCAGTCCCGGCTTGGGGACTGGAGCTGCAGTCCCGGCTTGGGGACCGGAGCTGCAGTCCCGGCTTGGGGACCGGAGCTGCAGTCCCGGCTTGGGGACCGGAGCTGCAGTCCCGGCTTGGGGACCGGAGCTGCAGTCCCGGCTTGGGGACCGGAGCTGCAGTCCCGGCTTGGGGACCGGAGCTGCAGTCCCGGCTTGGGGACCGGAGCTGCATTCCCGGCTTCGGGACCGGAGCTGCAGTCCCGGCTTCGGGACCGGAGCTGCAGTCCCGGCTTGGGGACCGGAGCTGCAGTCCCGGCTGGGGAACCGGAGCTGCAGTTCCGGCTCGGGTACCGGAGCTGCAGTTCCGGCTCGGGAACCGGAGCTGCAGTTCCAGCTCGGGAACCGGAGCTGCAGTTCCGGCTCGGGAACCGGAGCTGCAGTTCCGGCTCGGGAACCGGAGCTGCAGTTCCGGCTCGGGAACCGGAGCTGCAGTTCCGGCTCGGGAACCGGAGCTGCAGTCCCGGCTCGGGAACCGGAGCTGCAGTCCCGGCTCGGGAACCGGAGCTGCAGTCCCGGCTCGGGAACCGGAGCTGCAGTCCCGGCTCGGGGACTGGAGCTGCAGTCCCGGCTTGGGGACTGGAGCTGCAGTCCCGGCTTGGGGACTGGAGCTGCAGCCCCGGCTTGGGGACTGGAGCTGCAGTCCCGGCTTGGGGACTGGAGCTGCAGTCCCGGCTTGGGGACCGGAGCTGCAGTCCCGGCTTGGGGACCGGAGCTGCAGTCCCGGCTTGGGGACCGGAGCTGCAGTCCCGGCTTGGGGACCGGAGCTGCAGTCCCGGCTTGGGGACCGGAGCTGCAGTCCCGGCTTGGGGACCGGAGCTGCAGTCCCGGCTTGGGGACCGGAGCTGCATTCCCGGCTTCGGGACCGGAGCTGCAGTCCCGGCTTCGGGACCGGAGCTGCAGTCCCGGCTTGGGGACCGGAGCTGCAGTCCCGGCTGGGGAACCGGAGCTGCAGTTCCGGCTCGGGAACCGGAGCTGCTGTTCCGGCTCAGGAACCGGAGCTGCAGTTCCGGCTCGGGAACCGGAGCTGCAGTTCCGGCTCGGGAACCGGAGCTGCAGTTCCGGCTCGGGAACCGGAGCTGCAGTTCCGGCTCGGGAACCGGAGCTGCAGTCCCGGCTCGGGAACCGGAGCTGCAGTCCCGGCTCGGGAACCGGAGCTGCAGTCCCGGCTCGGGAACTGGAGCTGCAGTCCCGGCTTGGGGACCGGAGCTGCAGTCCCGGCTTGGGGACCGGAGCTGCAGTCCCGGCTTGGGGACCGGAGCTGCAGTCCCGGCTTGGGGACCGGAGCTGCAGTCCCGGCTGGGGAACCGGAGCTGCAGTTCCGGCTCGGGAACCGGAGCTGCAGTTCCGGCTCGGGAACCGGAGCTGCAGTTCCGGCTCGGGAACCGGAGCTGCAGTCCCGGCTCGGGAACCGGAGCTGCAGTCCCGGCTCGGGAACTGGAGCTGCAGTCCCGGCTCGGGAACCGGAGCTGCAGTCCCGGCTCGGGAACTGGAGCTGCAGTCCCGGCTTGGGGACCGGAGCTGCAGTCCCGGCTTGGGGACCGGAGCTGCAGTCCCGGCTTGGGGACCGGAGCTGCAGTCCCGGCTTGGGGACCGGAGCTGCAGTACCGGCTGGGGAACCGGAGCTGCAGTTCCGGCTCGGGAACCGGAGCTGCAGTTCCGGCTCGGGAACCGGAGCTGCAGTTCCGGCTCGGGAACCGGAGCTGCAGTTCCGGCTCGGGAACCGGAGCTGCAGTCCCGGCTCGGGAACCGGAGCTGCAGTCCCGGCTCGGGAACCGGAGCTGCAGTCCCGGCTCGGGAACTGGAGCTGCAGTCCCGGCTCGGGGACTGGAGCTGCAGTCCCGGTTTGGGGACTGGAGCTGCAGTCCCGGCTTGGGGACTGGAGCTGCAGTCCCGGCTTGGGGACTGGAGCTGCAGCCCTGGCTTGGGGACTGGAGCTGCAGTCCCGGCTTGGGAACTGGAGCTGCAGTCCCGGCTTGGGAACTGGAGCTGCAGTCCGGGCTTGGGGACTGGAGCAGCAGTGCCAGCGAGGGGACTGGAGCTACAGTCCCAGCGAGGGGACTGGAGCTGCAGTCCCAGCTTGGGGACTGGAGCTGCAGTCCCAGCAAGGGAACGCTCATACGCTGCACCGCCCGCTCATACGCTGCACCGCATGCTCATACGCTGCACCGCCCGCTCATACGCTGCACCACCCGCTCACACGCTGCACCGCACGCTCATACGCTGCACCGCGCGCTCATACGCTGCACCACCCGCTCATATGCTGCACCGCACGCTCATACGCTGCAGCGCCCGCTCACACGCTGCGCCGCCCGCTCATACGCTGCACCACCCGCTCATACGCTGCACCGCACGCTCATACGCTGCAGCGCCCGCTCACACGCTGCGCCGCCCGCTCATACTCTGCAACTCAAACACATGCACTGCACCGCACGCACATACACTGCACCGCACGCACATACACTGCACCGCATGCACATACACTGCACCGCACGCACATACACTGCACCGCACGCACATACACTGCACCGCACGCACATACACTGCACCGCACGCACATACACTGCACCGCACGCACATGCACTGCACCGGAAGCACGTACATGCTCTGCATGGGAATGGCGGTTGAGTAGGCATGCACATGAGGATGGGCATGTGGACGGGGATGGCAAAGGCATGAACATCCCCGTCCACATAACATAACGTTGGCCAAGCAAGACTCGAGAGAAAAGACTTTTGATACGTCTCAAAGTCTTTTAAGACGTCTTTTAAGGCATGTGAACGGGGATGGCAAAGGCAGGAACATCCCCGTCCACATACCAGAACATTGGCCAAGCCAAGCAAGACTCGAGAGAAATGCACTCACCGCAGGCAGGTAATTGCCGATCATCACCACCACCCATGCACAGAGCTTCCATGGGCTGCTTCTGAGACAACTCAAGGGCCTAAATCCAAAGGAAAGTCTCTGAGAGCCGCTGACGACTCACCTTTGGAAGGTAATTGCCGATCATCACGACCCGAGAGCAATTCTTCCACGGCCGCCCAAACGAGCCCTCCTTCACCCCCTCCCCCGCCGTCACATTACACCCGCGAATCACAATCCCCGTGGGGGTATTAGTCTCCCTCCCGGACGCCGTGATCACAGCCGTCGATTTCCCCAAGCGCATCTCCACCGTCGATCGGTCGATCAGCGCGGCCGCATCCCCAAAGATGAAATCCGTGAATCCCGAGATGTAACAGCTGCTGTAGTACTGCCGCCCGGCGTCCACACAGAGCGTGTCCTGGTATCCCGTGATGGCGCTGTCGTAGATGGCAGAGCGGTCGGCGGAGATCTTGAGAGCCACTGCCTGCTTGCCACGTGGCCCTGCTGTGTTCTCTATCCGGATCCCCACTGCCATGAATTTGCCTCGGTCCACCGCTGGAGGGATGTGAGGGTCAGCAGGGGAGACAGGAGGGGAAGAGTGGGGAGACGGGTGGAGGGATGAGGATGAGTATGAGTCCACACAGAGCGTATCCTGGTAACCCGTGATGGCAGAGTCGTAAACAGCGGAGCGGTCGGCGGAGATCTTGAGAGCCACTGCCTGCTTGCCACGTGGCCCTGCTGTGTTCTCCACGCGGATCCCCACTGCCATAAAGTTGCCTCGGTCCACAGCTGCAAGTGGAAGGGTGTGAGAGAGGAGAGGGGAGGGAGGAGGCATGAGTGAGGCTGCAGGTGTGACAGCTGTTGCAGTAATCTTAACATTTTCCTTCCCCGGCGTCCACACAGAGCGTGTCCTGGTGGCCCGTGATGGCGCTGTCGTAGATGGCGCGTGTCCCAGGGGAGACAGGAGGGGAGAAAGGAGGGAATAGTGGGGAGGCGGGTGGAGGGATGAGTATGAGTCCACACAGAGCGTGTCCTGGTGGCCCGTGATGGCGCTGTCGTAGATGGCGGAGCGGTCGGCGGAGATCTTGAGAGCCACTGCCTGCTTGCCACGTGGCCCTGCTGTGTTCTCTATTCGGATCCCCACTGCCATGAATCGGCCTCGATCCACCCCTGCAGGTGGTGAGGGTGAGCAGTAGAAGGGATGAGGGACGCGGCATGAGTGTGTGTGCATGTGCAACCCCCACTTATTGGGCTGTGGCCCCCATCCCATTGGTTAGCCAATAATGGTGGGGGGGAAACCCTAACTTTGCTCACTCAATTTATGACCTATTTGTACTGCTCTTTTCTTCAACATACCTCCCTCAGTTCCTTCCTCAGTTCCTCCCTCAGTTCCTCCCTCAGTTCCTCCCTCAGTTCCTCCCTCAGTTCCTCCCTCAGTTCCTCCCTCAGTTCCTCCCTCAGTTCCTCCCTCAGTTCCTCCCTCAGTTCCTCTCTCAGTTCCTCCCTCAGTTCCTCCCTCAGTTCCTCCCTCAGTTCCTCCCTCAGTTCCTCTCTCAGTCAGTTCCTCCCTCAGTTCCTCCCTCAGTTCCTCCCTCAGTTCCTCCCTCAGTTCCTCCCTCAGTTCCTCCCTCAGTTCCTCCCTCAGTTCCTCCCTCAGTTCCTCCCTCAGTTCCTCCCTCAGTTCCTCCCTCAGTTCCTCCCTCAGTTCCTCCCTCAGTTCCTCCCTCAGTTCCTCCCTCAGTTCCTCCCTCAGTTCCTCCCTCCCTCAGTTCCTCTCTCAGTTCCTCCCTCAGTTCCTCTCTCAGTTCCTCCCTCAGTTCCTCCCTCAGTTCCTCCCTCAGTTCCTCCCTCAGTTCCTCTCTCAGTTCCTCCCTCAGTTCCTCCCTCAGTTCCTCCCTCAGTTCCTCCCTCAGTTCCTCCCTCAGTTCCTCCCTCAGTTCCTCCCTCAGTTCCTCCCTCAGTTCCTCCCTCAGTTCCTCCCTCAGTTCCTCCCTCAGTTCCTCCCTCAGTTCCTCCCTCAGTTCCTCCCTCAGTTCCTCCCTCCCTCAGTTCCTCTCTCAGTTCCTCCCTCAGTTCCTCTCTCAGTTCCTCCCTCAGTTCCTCCCTCAGTTCCTCCCTCAGTTCCTCCCTCAGTACCTCCCTCAGTTCCTCCCTCAGTTCCTTCCTCAGTTCCTCCCTCAGTTCCTCCCTCAGTTCCTCCCTCAGTTCCTCCCTCAGTTCCTCCCTCAGTTCCTCCCTCAGTACCTCCCTCAGTTCCTCCCTCAGTTCCTCCCTCAGTTCCTCCCTCAGTTCCTCCCTCAGTTCCTCCCTCAGTTCCTCCCTCAGTTCCTCCCTCAGTTCCTCCCTCAGTTCCTCCCTAAGTTCCTCCCTCAGTTCCTCCCTCAGTTCCTCCCTCAGTTCCTCCCTCAGTTCCTCCCTCAGTTCCTCCCTCAGTTCCTCCCTCAGTTCCTCCCTCAGTTCCTCCCTCAGTTCCTCCCTCAGTTCCTCCCTCAGTTCCTCCCTCAGTTCCTCCCTCAGTTCCTCCCTCAGTTCCTCCCTCAGTTCCTCCCTCAGTTCCTCCCTCAGTTCCTCCCTCAGTTCCTCCCTCAGTTCCTCCCTCAGTTCCTCCCTCAGTTCCTCCCTCCCTCAGTTCCTCCCTCCCTCAGTTCCTCCCTCAGTTCCTCCCTCCCTCAGTTCCTCCCTCAGTTCCTCCCTCAGTTCCTCCCTCAGTTCCTCCCTCAGTTCCTCCCTCAGTTCCTCCCTCAGTTCCTCCCTCAGTTCCTCCCTCAGTTCCTCCCTCAGTTCCTCCCTCAGTTCCTCCCTCAGTTCCTCCCTCAGTTGCTCCCTCAGTTCCTCCCTCAGTTCCTCCCTCCCTCAGTTCCTCCCTCCCTCAGTTCCTCCCTCAGTTCCTCCCTCCCTCAGTTCCTCCCTCAGTTCCTCCCTCCCTCAGTTCCTCCCTCAGTTCCTCCCTCCCTCAGTTCCTCCCTCCCTCAGCTCCTCCCTCAGTTCCTCCCTCAGTTCCTCCCTCAGTTCCTCCCTCAGTTCCTCCCTCAGTTGCTCCCTCAGTTCCTCCCTCAGTTCCTCCCTCCCTCAGTTCCTCCCTCCCTCAGTTCCTCCCTCCCTCAGTTCCTCCCTCAGTTCCTCCCTCAGTTCCTCCCTCAGTTCCTCCCTCAGTTCCTCCCTCCCTCAGTTCCTCCCTCCCTCAGTTCCTCTCTCAGTTCCTCCCTCAGTTCCTCCCTCAGTTCCTCCCTCAGTTCCTCCCTCAGTTCCTCCCTCAGTTCCTCCCTCAGTTCCTCCCTCAGTTCCTCCCTCAGTTCCTCCCTCAGTTCCTCCCTCAGTTCCTCCCTCAGTTCCTCCCTCAGTTCCTCCCTCAGTTCCTCCCTCAGTTCCTCCCTCCCTCAGTTCCTCCCTCCCTCAGTTCCTCTCTCAGTTCCTCCCTCAGTTCCTCCCTCAGTTCCTCCCTCAGTTCCTCCCTCAGTTCCTCCCTCAGTTCCTCCCTCAGTTCCTCCCTCAGTTCCTCCCTAAGTTCCTCCCTCAGTTCCTCCCTCAGTTCCTCCCTCAGTTCCTCCCTCAGTTCCTCCCTCAGTTCCTCCCTCAGTTCCTCCCTCAGTTCCTCCCTCAGTTCCTCCCTCAGTCCCTCCCTCAGTTCCTCCCTCCCTCAGTTCCTCCCTCCCTCAGTTCCTCCCTCAGTTCCTCCCTCCCTCAGTTCCTCCCTCAGTTCCTCCCTCAGTTCCTCCCTCCCTCAGTTCCTCCCTCCCTCAGTTCCTCCCTCAGTTCCTCCCTCCCTCAGTTCCTCCCTCAGTTCCTCCCTCCCTCAGTTCCTCCCTCCCTCAGTTCCTCCCTCAGTTCCTCCCTCAGTTCCTCCCTCAGTTCCTCCCTCAGTTCCTCCCTCAGTTCCTCCCTCAGTTCCTCCCTCAGTTCCTCCCTCAGTTCCTCCCTCAGTTCCTCCCTCAGTTCCTCCCTCAGTTCCTCCCTCCCTCAGTTCCTCCCTCAGTTCCTCCCTCAGTTCCTCCCTCCCTCAGTTCCTCCCTCCCTCAGTTCCTCCCTCAGTTCCTCCCTCAGTTCCTCCCTCAGTTCCTCCCTCAGTTCCTCCCTCAGTTCCTCCCTCAGTTGCTCCCTCAGTTCCTCCCTCAGTTCCTCCCTCCCTCAGTTCCTCCCTCAGTTCCTCCCTCCCTCAGTTCCTCCCTCAGTTCCTCCCTCCCTCAGTTCCTCCCTCAGTTCCTCCCTCAGTTCCTCCCTCAGTTCCTCCCTCAGTTCCTCCCTCAGTTCCTCCCTCAGTTCCTCCCTCAGTTCCTCCCTCAGTTCCTCCCTCAGTTCCTCCCTCAGTTCCTCCCTCAGTTCCTCCCTCAGTTCCTCCCTCAGTTCCTCCCTCAGTTCCTCCCTCAGTTCCTCCCTCAGTTCCTCCCTCAGTTCCTCCCTCAGTTCCTCCCTCCCTCAGTTCCTCCTCCCTCAGTTCCTCCCTCAGTTCCTCCCTCAGTTCCTCCCTCAGTTCCTCCCTCAGTTCCTCCCTCAGTTCCTCCCTCAGTTCCTCCCTCAGTTCCTCCCTCAGTTCCTCCCTCAGTTCCTCCCTCAGTTCCTCCCTCAGTTCCTCCCTCAGTTCCTCCCTCAGTTCCTCCCTCAGTTCCTCCCTCAGTTCCTCCCTCAGTTCCTCCCTCAGTTCCTCCCTCAGTTCCTCCCTCCCTCAGTTCCTCCCTCCCTCAGTTCCTCCCTCAGCTCCTCCCTCAGTTCCTCCCTCAGTTCCTCCCTCAGTTCCTCCCTCAGTTCCTCCCTCCCTCAGTTCCTCCCTCCCTCAGTTCCTCCCTCAGTTCCTCCCTCCCTCAGTTCCTCCCTCAGTTCCTCCCTCAGTTCCTCCCTCAGTTCCTCCCTCAGTTCCTCCCTCAGTTCCTCCCTCAGTTCCTCCCTCAATTCCTCCCTCAGTTCCTCCCTCAGTTCCTCCCTCAGTTCCTCCCTCAGTTCCTCCCTCAGTTCCTCCCTCAGTTCCTCCCTCAGTTCCTCCCTCAGTTCCTCCCTCAGTTCCTCCCTCAGTTCCTCCCTCAGTTCCTCCCTCAGTTCCTCCCTCAGTTCCTCTCTCAGTTCCTCCCTCAGTTCCTCCCTCAGTTCCTCCCTCAGTTCCTCCCTCAGTTCCTCCCTCAGTTCCTCCCTCAGTTTCTCCCTCAGTTCCTCCCTCAGTTCCTCCCTCAGTTCCTCCCTCAGTTCCTCCCTCAGTTCCTCCCTCAGTTCCTCCCTCAGTTCCTCCCTCAGTTCCTCCCTCAGTTCCTCCCTCAGTTCCTCCCTCAGTTCCTCCCTCAGTTCCTCCCTCAGTTCCTCCCTCAGTTCCTCCCTCAGTTCCTCCCTCAGTTCCTCCCTCAGTTCCTCCCTCCCTCAGTTCCTCCCTCCCTCAGTTCCTCCCTCAGTTCCTCCCTCCCTCAGTTCCTCCCTCAGTTCCTCCCTCAGTTCCTCCCTCAGTTCCTCCCTCAGTTCCTCCCTCAGTTCCTCCCTCAGTTCCTCCCTCAGTTCCTCCCTCAGTTCCTCCCTCAGTTCCTCCCTCCCTCAGTTCCTCCCTCAGTTCCTCCCTCAGTTCCTCTCTCAGTTCCTCCCTCAGTTCCTCCCTCAGTTCCTCCCTCAGTTCCTCCCTCAGTTCCTCCCTCAGTTCCTCCCTCAGTTCCTCCCTCCCTCAGTTCCTCCCTCAGTTCCTCACTCAGTTCCTCCCTCCCTCAGTTCCTCCCTCCCTCAGTTCCTCCCTCAGTTCCTCCCTCAGTTCCTCCCTCAGTTCCTCCCTCAGTTCCTCCCTCAGTTCCTCCCTCAGTTGCTCCCTCAGTTCCTCCCTCAGTTCCTCCCTCCCTCAGTTCCTCCCTCCCTCAGTTCCTCCCTCAGTTCCTCCCTCAGTTCCTCCCTCCCTCAGTTCCTCCCTCAGTTCCTCCCTCAGTTCCTCCCTCAGTTCCTCCCTCAGTTCCTCCCTCAGTTCCTCCCTCAGTTCCTCCCTCAGTTCCAACCTCAGTTCCTCCCTCAGTTCCTCCCTCCCTCAGTTCCTCCCTCAGTTCCTCCCTCAGTTCCTCCTCAGTTCCTCCCTCAGTTCCTCCCTCAGTTCCTCCCTCAGTTCCTCCCTCAGTTCCTCCCTCAGTTCCTCTCTCAGTTCCTCCCTCAGTTCCTCCCTCAGTTCCTCCCTCAGTTCCTCCCTCAGTTCCTCCCTCA